GCTCTTAGTGTAAAGAGGCACTGATTTTACAGACTTGTGAAAGAATTGTGAACATTCCTAAGTCTGCCACTTTTTTAAAGGGCCCTATAGAGACTCACACAAATCCAGAAGTGCCAGTCTTTCCCTCTTTGCCAGCACAACATGCATGGGCAGCAGCTGCTTCATCTCACCCTTAGAAATAAACAGAAACTGAACTGGGATTCTCAAGTCTTGGCATCCCTTCCACCTCCCTTTGGGCTGCAGGAATTACTGTTACCATTCATATGGGCATGAACACCAGGTGGCCAACCTATCCCATGTGGTCAGACTACGAATGGTAGACAATGCAGAAACCACAATGTAAAATTAGACAGCTTCTATCACCAGAAATTATAAACGTGCCAAAGCATTAATGTTACAATATATCTGTCAACCCATGTACAAAACCAAGGTGCCATGGCAGCTCCCTTCTATTATCTGCTTGCAATCACACTTCAGTCTGTCTTTCTGTTTCATGCCTAAAAAGCAGTACTAATCAGATTCAATCTTTCTGTCCAAGGCCTTTGAAGCTTAGCAAAGCATATTTTGGAATCAAATTGATGCTCAACTAATGCAAACCATGAGAAAATGGCACAAAAATGACAAACAAAACTTATCAATGTTAGTTCATGTTTCTACCCAGTCACCCGAATCCAAAAGCCTTTCATATACCAAAGTACTTCAGTTCTCGAAACAAATTTTTGGAAAACAGGTATTTCCTTCCCCACACTTCACCAAAATACTCTCCCGTGAGTACCATTCTTCAAACTGGGTTTTCAATACTATCTGTGCAAATAAGCATAATAAGGGCTTTTCAGGTTTTCCTCTCATCCCCAGTAAGCAGTTTTTCTTTCCCTAGCTAGAAACCTCCACAAGGGGATATACTTCCTAGGATCTCTCATAATTCATCTTTGTCACTATCTGCAGCAAGTATCATGTACACTTTTCCCTCTCCCCCGCCAATCCCCCATTCTCACCCTGAATGGATAAACAGCAAAGGTAAGTAATACCCCTGCCCAATCGTATTATTATAGTATTCTGTATAAATTCTAATGTATGGCCTTTGCATTCTGAGACCAAAGACAAAATGGCTTCTAATAAGTAGGCACTGCAATTCAAAACTGAACTAAAATTTCTTCTTTTATTGCATTCCTTTGTACTGTAAGAGATGATCGACCATAATTTCTTATTTTTCACTACAGTGTCCACTCTGGAGTACCAATGTCCCAGAACAGGAAGAAGGGCAGAAAGACTAGCTCTTTAATGGTGAAGTCCAGGAAACAGGGAATACAGAGGAGCCCCTGCTCATGAAAATATATAGACATGAAGAGAGATTCAACACCAGCGTGGTGGTTTGAGGAGGATCCTGACAGGCATCAACAGTGAAAGACTGGAGTGAAAAACCTCTTGGAAAGGAGGTTATGCAGGAATCAATGAGGAATGAAAGGAGTGATAATGTGATGCTGTAGCCATAATGGTAGAGGAATTATGCAAGGCAAGGATTTCTTAGGGTGATGTCTGTTATTGGACCAACTGCATAGTTGGGATAGAATTAAAAAAGCTTTCAAATGCATGACATTGTTCTTCTGGTTAGAAGAATGTCTTGCATTTGAAAGCTTGTCTAACTCTATCCCAACTATGCTGTTGGTCCAATAACAGACATCACCCTAAGAAATCCTTGCCTCTCGAATGACAAGACGACAGATAATTTCAGAAGGATGTATTAACTCAAAAAGTGTAAGAAAACTTAAGTGCTGTTTTGCCCCAATAAATGGTCCCTGATCCACATACAACCTACCCAATAACCATCACATCCCTCAAGACAACAGCAGATCTTGGATAGCACTCTCCCCTCCAGCTTCATCACAACCATTTTCCAGATGTTCTACACATTGCTCAAGAGGATGGAAAAGGAAGTGGCTGGGATAGGAGGTTGTTGGGTCATTCTTCTATGAGAAGATCTATATTGCTTTTGCTCTGGTACATGTGTCATTTTTTATAGTACTGTATTGCAGCTGGCTTGCAAGCTTTTCAGCATGCAAAAAAAACATTTATCCCTGAAAACAAAGACTCTTTGTACTTTGCACATCAGTGATACTATTATTAAATATCAATACATTGGTTTGCTCCCCTGACTAACTCCTTCATCATTAGAGCACAAATCCATTGGAAAGCCAGCCACCGTGTAATCCTGCCATCTAAAAAAGCACAGGACCACAATAATCCACTCTTCTATAAACTTCCTCACCATACAAACAAAAGAGAATTTTAGGTTTAATACATTGAAAGAAACCCAGCTGCATCACCGCATGAAATGAATCACTCTATACTACAAATCCCAAGTTAGATGCACTTCACTGTTCCTACCCATTTCCATACCACCAGTTAGAAAGTGGGTGCACAGAGCATTGCTAATTTGCGCAGCATGCCAACCGCGGCCTCTGCTAGCCTCAGGTGTGACCACTTGTCTAGCCAGATGTGCATAGGCTGATTCCAGTTCAGCTGCCTTGGCACTTCACTGTTCTTTGACAACATCATCTTTGCTTTGACTTTATACAAAATGCAGCCAGCAGGTATGACAACTACTACATCAGTCATAGAACAGTCGCTGCAGGTCAGCACATATCTCCTGCTTGATTGCAGTCTCCCAAAGGCACATGCTTTCCAGCACGGTGCACCTGCTACATTTACAAATGAATCTGAGTTTGTATAATCAGGAATACAATTATTTCCAGGGCTAATGTAGATAGGCTGGGTCAATCCAGGATGAGAAAGGGACATCAATGTCAGTGCTGTTTAGTGAGAATAAATTCTCTTTTGCCTACTCTCAAAGAGTGTTTATACACATGCTCCAGGAGGAAGGGATGTGACACTTTAATTAAAGTGACTTTTAGAGCCGCTTTAATTAAAGCTCCTGAAGCATCATGTGCATCAGTGTCCCCATGCTGAAAAATGGCAGTGGGGACGCTCTAACTAAAGCTCATCAAGCAAGCTTTAGTTAAAGTGCCCCCATCATCATTTTTCAGTGTCAGGACACTGATACATGTGATGCTGGAATAATGGTAATTGCCATGCTCTAGCAGACTCAACCAAGTCTGCTCCAATGCACTGTAATTACAGCACATCAGAGCAGTCTCGCTGCATGTGTATAGGCACCTAAAGAGGCAGGAGTTAAAACTTTCCACTGTTTGCTTAGCCTTCCTACACACACATACACGGTCCCAGAAGCACCTTTCATGTTAATATAATCTTGGGCAAAGAAGGGGAAAAAATGGGTACATGGTTTCTGTCAGTCTGCCACAGAATAAAATCCTTCAGTGAGATCTAACACAGAGACTGATCATGACTCCCAACAATCAGCATTCCTGTAGATTGCCCCACAAGCCTACATTACAGCTTGGCCTTCCCTAACATCTACTGGCACCTAACAATTATCCAGGCAGCCAACTTCCCCAGGACAATCACGGCTTGTGTTTCAAAGACAAAGGTAACACATCTCTGCAGTGTGGAACTGCAATGTCAGGGTTATCTCACCAGGCAGATACAGAAATGCCTTCTTCCTCACCATGAACTTTATGCTACCTTTGCTGTTTATCCCAGGTCTCGAGAACAATTTTGTCCCACCAGTCTGTGGTGTTAATTTGGACCTAAAAGTACCACGTTACCTGATGTTTGTCATCTGCAAACATAGTGCACAGCCATCTCCCTAGGCACTGGGGGTGTATGACTTGCATCTTGACTCTTTGAACCGCTTGGCAACACGCTTGCTTCACAATTGCCTTTGAAAAACTATGGCAGACATTTTACTGAACAAAGCAATAGCCAAGCTTCTACCATGGCCTCCATTTTAAGGAAAGGAGTAGAAAATGATGGTTGTCCCAGGTAGCATGAGATACACCCTGAGGAATTACAGGAGACTGACTCCTTTCTCCCATAATTCCACTGCACTGAAAGGACCTGTAAAAATGTTTTAAAAACTACTGTTTCAGGTAAGGGAGAGGTACCCAGGGGCAGCACAGAACAGCAGAACTGTCAATGGTGGGCAGAACACCTATCAACCTATAACCCCACCTGCACTGTGTCCATACTAGCCACCATGGATTCCAACACCTGTGCTCTCACAATGGTCCACTCACCAACAGTTCAGATTTCTAGTCCAGGGGTAGGCAACCTATGGCCCATAGGCCGGATGTGGTCCGCAGACATGGCTGCAGGCACTGTCCCTTTGCTGCCATGTGTGCAGGTGGCAGCAGCAGCCAGGTCTTAGTATCTGCCTCTGATGGTGGGTCATTCCAACCCATAGCTGGAAAAGGTTGACTGCCTCTGTTCCAGTCCAAAGAGACCTTTGTTCTCAAAAAAGGACCTACAGGAAAACACCAAAAGCTGAGGCATTTCTCCCCCAGATCAACAATAATTAACTACAGCAGCAGAACTTAGGTTGTGTTAGCATACAACCTTGAGGAGTCTCATGAATTAACTGGGTCTACCCAGAACAAAAAGTGTTGTTTAATATCATCTTAGTTCACAAGGCCGCACTCTTAATTTCCTAGTGAAGAGAAAATAAAAGGTCTATTTTAAAAAGAAATCTGTACTTAATTTTAATCAGTCCTGCCAAGTTTGCAATTAGAAACGTTTGCCGCCAAAAATAAAACACAAAGTAAGCGTGCCTATTGTTAAGCTCTATATTACTTCTGGCATTTCCGAAGCTGGTGCTGGAGGCAGCCATGTTGCTAAAAAGTGACAGTAGCAGAAGCAGTCCCTTGAAAGATGAATGAAAATACAAACTAGCCATACCTTCTGACTCAGGAATTAATAACGATCATGCCTCTTCTTTAACCTTTGTGAGCTACCCTGAAATCAGGGTCATGTGACACCACTTTTCAACAAGATGGTTGCCCGCAGCACTGAGCTAAAGAAATGCCCTTTTAGTTACAAATTTGAAAATACATTTCAGCATACTGAGGGTGATAAACATTTCTTACCATATGAACTTTCTACATGACAGGCTGAGGAAAAGAAGGTAGCTCTCTTCATGGAGAAAAATATTCTGTTTGGAAAAACAAAATATGAAATCAATGCTTCATTTTCAATATTTCCTTCCTTATCTTGCTCTCTCTCACTGAAGGCAATTTACAGATAATTAATTTATCCTCACAGATGTCCTGTGGGTACTTTCCCTATTTTATAGGGGAGGATACTGTCTGTACAGAAATTAAGTCAGATGTCACTAACCTGAATTCCTGATTCCAGGTGGAAGCAAGCAACAGGAGCAGATGAACTCTTAGGGAGCAAAAATCACAGATGTACACTAATACAGCTAGTAATAAAGAATGAGGGATGTTACCATTTAAGCATGAAATTCTTAAAGGTATCCCTTCAAATGTAATAATCTCCTGGAAAAAAACCTAAAAGTGGCACTATGAGGTTTCATGATTCTCTCTCAATCATCTTCCACGTCAAATTTGCTCAGTTTCCCAGTAAAATGGTATTTATTCAACTGCTTGCCTTGCAAATTCATCTGGGGTCTCTCTGGTTCAAGCCCCCCACCAAGAATAAAGATTCTGCAACTGGGAACTTTGTTCATAATTCTCTCACAATGAGGATGAGCAAGGCAGAAGGGAATCCAATTCCTTCCCTCACCGCTTCATTGGCTCTGCAGGGCTAGCAGGACGAAAAACCTATTTCTTACATGAAAGTCAGCACCTCCGACTCTGAACATGGAAAGTGAGCACCACCGTTGAGGAAAATGGTGCAGTTTTACACAATTATGTTTCTGGCTGTAACTTCTCTCTGAACTTTAACAAAATTTAAGAGCCAACTTCTCTTACTTCACACTATGTAAGTCGGAAAATTGATTACCTCAGGCGTTTCCAAAGTTTTGCCCCAAAGAGCTATTTTGAAGGGGCACTGGCCACTCTTGGCCTGCAGGCTACATTTTAGGACCGTCTGAATTACATGGTTTAGAAAGGCAAGTGAAATCAGGGCCCACTTCTATAACACACAAAGAAAGAGCAACACTCAACTTGGCCTAGACAGCGCCAGACACAGGCATGGGTGAACTAGGGCCCAGACAGAAAGGGGGTCTGAAAATGATACTTTTTTATTATTATTATCATTATTTCTGGCAAAGGGGGGGCCCAATACTAAAAGTTAACCCAGGGCCGCCAGGAGTCTAGGTACAGAGCTGAGCCTAGGACAATGGTTTTCAACCTTTTTTTCATGTGTGGACCCCTTTGAATTGTAAGTGTGGGTATTCATGTACTTTTGATTGATTATGGTCATCTTTTGCAGACCGCCTAGACATAGTCTATAGACCCCCAGAGGTCCACAGACCATAGGTTGGGAACCACTGGCCTAGGAGTTAAGCTCTGTAGACTGTCCACAGAAAAGAATGGGAGGGTTGTTCTTGACTTAGCTACTATACCATCCTCTCCAGTTGTACCTTTTCTGCTAAGTCAGTACCAGTTTCTGAAGCCTGGTAGTGTATTAGCAAATTCACCATCCCCCAGTTTCTTCTGCTTAACCCTTCTGGTTCTCCTTCCTGAGGTCCCCTAACTTTCTACCTCCCTTATTCAGAAAAGCCTGCCTACTATTCCCTTTATGTTTCCATGGCCCCCACTACCACAAAAGTATTATTTTTTTCTACCACAGAGGGCCCAGAGGACCCATTCAGGATTAGGACCCTATTGTGCTAAGTCAGTGACTCTCAATCAGGGTGCCACAGCACCTTGGGGTGCTGCCAGATTCTTTGAAGCATGCCACAAGGTGTAAGGACATAAGTGAGGTATAAGAAGATAAGCACAGGTTCAGGCTTGTCCCTGCCTGGCTGATTCCCTAACCCCAATACCCAGCCCCTCTACAAGAGGGTACACACTGTAATACTGTACATACAATAGCTTTTATAATTGGGTGTCACTCAGTTTACAAAAATTATAAGGGGGGGCCTCAAATCCAATGAGGGGTGCTCAAGTCTAAAAAGCTTGAAAGCTGCTGTGCTAGGTTATGCACTCAAATGCGCAAGGGACCCTAACCCAGCATTCGGTGGCTTATTTAAATGTGAGTGTACCAATTCCATTCAGATATGATATCACTCCAAGACAAACTGTAAGAATCATGAACTCAAACTTGCATAACTTCAAAGATGGGCACTCAGGAGTAGATGCATGTGAGAACGCTTGCAGCTAACTGCCCGAGCTCGTCTGGCCATTTTCTGCATTTCCACTGCAGCAACTGCAGATGTTTTTTTCCCCCACATGAGAGCCCTCTCTTGCTACCCAGTTCTGCAGCAGTCATAATCCAGCACTATACCTTAAAGGCTGCTCAGAAGCTGCAACTGATACAGAAGGCAACTGCCTTAACAAGGAAGACTTCCTGCAGAGAGCACATGACCCCCATGTTCCATGATCTGCATTGCCTTTCCCAGGTGAAGCGTAAGGTGTTCACACTGACCTACAAAGCCCCTAATGGGCTATCTAAGAAGCCACCTCAAAGGCTGCAGAAGAAGAAAGATGAGCTGAAGTGCTTTACCTAACAGTGTGCTGGTTTAAACAGGCAGTCTGTCATTTCTGGCAAAGCTCTAACATTTCCCCAATCCAATACCACAGATTTCTTGAACTTCATGCCACAAGACACTCTTTTCCTAGGTTTTTTCTAGAGGGGATGGATTGAAAAAGGATACGAATGGCTGAGGAGACTTATTTGTGAGGATAGAAGGTCTGTTGTGAAGACTGAGCCAATGATTTTTTTTAATATAAAGAACACATAAGATGCCTGGAATTTGATAGATGATTTTTAATTAAATTGAAATAAGTAAATCATTGCCTGTTGCCATGGAGAATGAACGTGATGTCATGGACTCAGCCTCCTGACTCAAGGGCAAGATCAAGCAGGAGAAGCAGACGAGACTGTGAAATTAAAAATACCTATTTTAAAGCAAATGGGCTTGATAATTAGTAAAAAAAAAAAAAGTGGCATAGGAAAATGATTTAGCCATATGGTGGAAACAGTTTTAAAGGTGAACTGTAAAGCTGTTTTACATAAATGAATAAACTGCTTAAGATCACAGATCACTAGCAGACTAATACATGCAGAATTAAATATTTTGTTTAAAAAATGTGGCAAAAAAGAATTAGTTTTCCTTTCACTTAACTATCAAGACTCTGCTTTGTTTAAGTAGCTATTTCTGATGTTTAGAGATGGCAGGTATCTGCAGTTACTGAAGAGTCAAACTTCCCACATGTTACCACAAGCTTTGCAGTTCTGAAGTAAAATCTATTTGTGGGATACATAACCTTTCATCTCTAGATCACCTGTGTCCTGCAATCCTCTCCTGGGCAGCAGTGACTGACAATCATCAGCAAATGTGGATGTTTGTCACTACTGTCACTTGCATGGCAAACTGACTTTTACAGGTTTTTCCACAGACAACCAGTAGGCAAGATACAGTAGACACAGTATCCTTTGGAGTGACCCCACAAGTGCGGGACAACCAGGAATTTAAATGGGCCCCAGACTGGCCAGTTTTTACATGGCTTTTACATAAAACTTGGTATTTTTTCTCTTACATTCAAGCCAGTATAGGGCCACGTTACTCTTACTGAAAATACAGAAACAGAACGAAAATGGCAACAATCCAAATCCAGTAGCTTGAAAAAGGTATGCAGGTGACAAGCAGGGAGGGGGCTCAACTTACGAACTTGTGCTGGGCCCAAAAATTTTCTATGGGTAGCACTGGGTAACTCCATCCAGGACCAGCACACCTAAACACCAATGCATGCAAAAAAGAATGGCAGAAAGTGGCCATATCAACCCAAACCTACCTCTGCACTGGGGGGAAATCCTTAAGGATGGTGCCTCCATGTTTAGGTCGCCAGAGCTGCATAAAAGGACTGCAGACAACCAAGAGATTTCTCTATAATCTTTTTTAGCCAAGCCAACCCATTTGACTGCAACTCCACTATGATTTGTTTGAATGTATGGCAAGAGATCTGTCATAGAATTTACAATAAAAGTTATATCTGACATCTCAGTATCCCATGACATAATATTAACCCAGGGGCAGGCAATTATTTTGGGCAGAGGGCCGCTTACTGAGTTTCTCATCAAGGGCCGCATGACAGGCAGCCCAGGGCAGATAAATGTTAATTTTCTAAATTTTTAGCGGCCCTGCGGGCTGGACAGAATGGCCTGGCAGGCAACATCCAGTCCCAGGGCTGCATTTTGCCCACCCCTGTATTAACCGGTGTGTGCCACGATCTTTATTTATTTTTCAAATAAAAAAGGAAATACTAAAATTGTATTTTTTGTTTTCACTTTTTTCCAGGGATAACCCTGATCTCCACTCCCCCCCCACCTTTTATGCAGAGTAAAAAAAAATAACTATGCTCATTAGTCTCTCATGGTTGTTCACTGACTTGCATGAAGGGAATTAAGAGTCTCAGTCAAGCCACTAGTGACACAGCTGCTCACATCAAAAAGCCAGAGTCAGAGTAGGTACTAATCAACAGAGACTGAATTGGCCACAGAGTGAATTCGCCTCTTCCCCCACCAACCAGATTTCAGATGGCTGAAAGTGCAAGAAGTTTGGAGAAAGGAAGTGAAAATACAAGCCAAATCTTCAAATCATTATTGCCAACACCTAGAATTTTATCTTGCATTTTGCCACATTTGATCTTTTACCAGGAGTCAAGGTGCATGAACATATCAGGTTTAATTTGTTTAAAAACTGAATACAGTCCTAGCTGCGTAGATAAACTGGAAAACACGAACACTAAAACTTCATCCAGGAGACCAATACAAAGAATCTGTTTCACTCTTCTAAAAGATCATGGTTTTTTAAGCTACACATGCTTCTGGGGAGGTGACTGACTCAGGGAAGGCTTGGAAACTGAGCAATCTCTGAACCTGCTGTGAAGAGATGCAAGCCATCCAGGGAGGTGCTATTCACTCTCAGTTTCCCCTCTTCCTACTGCTTTCCCCTTGTGTGCAAGCAATTTCCTGTTGCTTGAACCACAGCCTACCCCCATCACCAGAGCAAAAATGGCTACA